TTGACAAATTTTGAATTTCAGAAAATGACAGCTTCAAACCCGATTTTCAACCACTAAATGATTTCAACTGTAAAGGTGATGAATATAAAAGTTGTATAACTCGTCATGATCTCCTACTTTTATTTTGACCATTTCTTCATTTCATAAAGTGTTAAGTGATTTCATAAAGTTTTAGTAGTAATAGAGTGGATGTTGAAATAGATTTGTCTAGATGTTGCAAAGGGTAGTCTCACACACATGCATAAATGTAGTCTCACACACACATAAATATATAGTCTTACACACACACGTACATATATAGTCTCACATACATGCATAAATGAAGTCTTACAAACACACACTTACACAAACACTCCATGTTCAACAACTAGCTAGCCCGCTGTAACAACTTTTCCCTTGACACCTTTTCGCTCCCATGGCAATATGTCTTTGGGTAGGTTCTTTTCCACATCACTGATCTTCTTAGGAATGTCTGTGAATAGGGCATCTCATCGTAGTTATTGTAAGCTTTAACATCGTCCATGCCATCAACTCCGATAATGTGCTGTTTCCCAGAGGCACCCACGTACTTTGTCTTCTTCTTCAGGGGAGGTTACTTTGTGGGTCAGACGTATAGAAAACTTATGTGACACGTGAAGCGAGCACCCAAGGGTCATCTTGGTAGCCTAGATTCTTGAGGTCCTGGACTCTCAATCCGATCTCGTTCAGTTGGTGTTGTATGATCCAGCGGCATCAAAACAGGGCCACCGTTATACCCTTTCCATAGTCAAGTTCCCATATCTCTTCAATGATGCCAAAGTATTGGATCTTTCACCCTAATCCATCGAGAGCTTCTATTCGAATGCCGCTGTTTTGGTTCACATATTTACTATCCTTTGCGTGGGTATAGTACGTATACCCATTGAAGTCATAAGCATTCCAAGATGTCACTTGTCTCGATGGCCCCTCCGCCAACTTACTGATGGTAATAGAGTCTATGGTTTCTCCAGGCGATATGTTTTGGTCCTTCAACCATATAGTTAGTCGTTGCTTGTGCTGTTTCATGACCCAATCATCCGAACGACCATTTCTCTCTGCCATAATGATAGCCAAGTGTTCATCAATGTACGGTTGCATCAGTTGTGTACTCTGCAAGACACTATAATACGCCCAACTCACCTCTTTATAATCATGGTCGATGAACACTTTTCTACCACTGGTGCTCTTCCCAACCAGCGTACCCTTGCGACGAGAATCGAGTTTACCAATCCCTTTCTGTACTTTTAGGTACTCTTGACAGCACTCGATGACTTCTTCAGTATTGTAACCCTCTATCATGGAGCCCTCTGGGTATGCTCGATTATGCACGTATTGACTTAGAACCGACATGAACCGCTCGTAGGACCACATTTTATGTAAGTAGCAAGGGCCCAGCGCCTGTATCTGATGAACCATGTGAATCATGAGATGTGGCATTATATCAAAAAAAGCAGGTGGTAAACACATCTCTAGTTGGTTTTGTGTCTCCACCACAAATTCATGTAGGTCACTCAGCTCTTGCTTGCCAATCGTCTTTTGTGAGATCTTTGAAAAGAAGTAGCACATGCGGGTGATGGCCATTTTCAAGAACTCTGGCTTTATAGCCCTGATTACAATAGGTAGAAACACTGTCAGCATCACATGACAATCGTGAGCCTTGTAGTGTGTTATTGACATGTCCTTCTTCGACACTAGCTTCTTCACATTCGCTGAAAACTCAGTTGGGACTTTGACCCCCCTTAGGAAAGTGCATATAGCTCTCTTCTCGTCTGGTGTTAGGTTGAAGCACGCCGCAGGCAGAGTGTATTTTCCATTAGCCTCAAGTACCGGGTGAAGCTGTGGCATCACGTTTAGCTGCACCATGTCTTTCCATGATTTCAGACCATCCTTTGACTTGCCTGTGTCCATCAAGGTAGCAATGAGACTCTCAAAGATATTCTTCTGCATGTGCAAAGCATCAATGGCATGGGGGACCTCCAAGTCTAGCCAATAAGGCAGATACTGAAAGAAGATCGATTGTTTCTTGAAAGGTACGCCTTCGACATGGGGTGTGCTTCTATCTCTGTTCGTCCCATCTGGATTCTTCTTTACATAGATGACATGTATGTTTTTCACTATTCTGTACATGTGTTCTCCGTTATGACGTCTCTCCAGAGGGGGTTCAATCTCCAGGGTGTTGTCATAAAATCTAAAGAACAATTTGTTGCGGTACTTGTGACTTGTCTTTAAGAAGCGTCGGTTCCTTAGGTAAACTATCTTCTTGGATGCATCTAGGTACACCCATGTAGTACCATCCAAGCAAACCAAGCATCCTATCTTCCCTTTGATCTATCTAGACAAAGCAAACAGCGCGAGGTAATCATTGGTAGTAACAAATATTATTGCTCTACATATGAAGTCCTCCTTTCAGAACGCATCATACATCGGCTCCCCATGCCTCTATAGCCTCTCCATTTCTTGCATCAAAGGCTCGAGGAACACGTCTATATCAATGCCTGGTTGTTTAGGGCTAGAAATAAGAATAGTGAGGAGAAGGTACTTTCTCTTCTGATACAACCACGTTGGGATGTTGTACATGGTCAAGATCACTGGCCAAGTGCTGTGGTCGCTCATCCTCTCATTGAAGGGATTCATTCCATCGGTGCTCAAGCCAAACCGTACATTCCTTGGGTCATCGCTGAATTCTTTGTGTTTCTCATCGAACCTTTGCCACTGACTACAATCTATCGGGTGTGCAATCTTATCATCATCCACCTTGCGCTCATCATCCCACCATGTCATGAGTGTGGCTTCTTTAGGGTTTAGGAAGATATGTCTCAAGCAGTCGGTCACTGGCAGGTACCACATTACCAAGGCAGGAATTCTTCTCTGCTTTACATCGTTGCCTAATGGAGTGTCCTCTGGGGGCTGAGATTCTTATGCCACTTTTTTTGTACCCTTCTTATTCCACTTTTTCCCCATGGAGGCTTCGTCCCCACCGTAAAGGTCATTGTTCTTGTACCGGCTGGCCCCAGACCGAGGACATTTATCCAATGACTTGAACGTTTCGCCATGAAAAATATACAGTGGTTGGGGCAAGCATGGATTTTTTCAACCCCCATTGTCAATGGACTTATGACCTTCTTCACTTGGTATGTGTTGGCGGGAACTGAGTTTGGTTGTGGCAGCACCCATGACAGGAGACGCAATAGATCATTGAAACTACAGTCTGACCAGCCGTACTTAGCCTTCAGGATGAGTAGCTCAAGCACAAAACATAGCAATGTCCAATGTGTCAGACAACCTTTTTCAACACCATATACAGTCTCCTTCGATGCTTTTGTCACCCTTTCCAAATTTTCTAGACCTTCGGGCTCTTTAGTAAAATCTCTAGTCCAAGGGCTCAAATCATGTCCTCCAAATCATCTTCATCCCCGACACGTGCTCCACCATCAATATTGGCACCACCTTCGTCGTTACCATCCCAACCACCAGCATCACCACCTTGTTCATTGCCAAACTCGAGATCCATTCGTGCATCAAGCTTTGCTGAATATTGGGACAGGGATTCTAGGGTTTTGTCGTCGTATTCCTCCTCATCCTCGTCGTTAACAATAACCGTTTCACCATGATGAATCCACACTATGTAGTCCTCAACAAATCCTCGCATAATCAAATGTGATCTGATGATAGTCACATCTGTCCATGTCATACGGTTCTTACAATCTTTACAGGGACAAATAATTGTATCCTTATTCTCTGTCAACGTCGTTGCATGCTTCTTTGCGGCTTCAATAATTTTATCCACCTCTTCACGAAAACCTACCTTGAGCCTTAACGAACCATACATCCAAGAGTTCATGTACTTCATCTTTTACAACAACAACAAAACAAACATTGTATATACTTCAGATATATATGAATATAAATCAAATATAATTACATGAAGCATACAAACACACCATGGTAGAGGAAAATTAATTAATGACCCATTATCCATAAATAATTAAAATACATATTTGTTGATTACAATAAACAAATTTAAAGACAACAATTAGCAACAATTATATTTTACCCAATATCTTTCATGCAAACCCTAGTCCAATTTCATCAAACATAAATTTACAAAAACAAAATTAATAAAAAAAACCAAACCCTAGATCTAGATCTACATGCACATGAAACATCCATAAAACTAACTAATTGTTCACTAAAATCAAAAAACATGGACCAAATAAGGGTATGATCTTATTCCCCTACCTAATTTACCCAAGTACATTCAAAACTTGGGTCTAATTTACTTCATAAGTAGCTCAAGCCCCACCATAGAAGAGAGAGAAAAGCAAAACTCTAATTACTCACTAACCAACCATTAAAACTTCAAAAAAAGTGTGGAATAGCATTTTCTTACCTTCTACAATCTCTCCACCAAAGGATTTCAGACCAAAACCTTCCCCCCTTAGTAGAGCAATTTTTGGGAGGTGCCCAAGGCATCCCCACCTTTCTTTCACGGGTTGGAGTGAGTGACCCGAGGAGGAAGAAGGTGTTGCAGTTTGTTTTATATGTGGGTCATTTGTAGGGGCGGCTGGTGATTGAGCCGCCCCAACAAATCGGAGGTATTTATACGCGGGCATTTGTAGGGGTGGTTCAATCACTAGCCACCCTTACAAATAGCAACACCGGGGGCGGCTGGTGAGTGAGCCACCCCTACAAATCCGACCCATTTGTAGGGGCGGCTCGTATCACCAGCCGCCCCTGCTGTTCCATTTGTAGGAGCGGCTAGTCTCGTGGCTCCCGAGCACGCCACTATAGGGACGGCTCCATCACCAGCTGCCCCTACAAAAAATTTGTCCCGTAGCTACAAACCATTTTTCACGTAGTGTGATTAACTCAATCTCCTATATAAGTAAGTATACATCATATACACGTGTAGAGCTAGCTAGCAAGCTAGTAATAGCTCGAATGTCATTTAATTTATGTATATATGGTAGAGGGCGAGCTAATTAACCATGGTGGCCGAAGCCAGGGCTCAGAACCGATCCCTCCACGACCTGGATGATCCACCTACGATTAGCGGTGGCGATCTCGGCCTCAGGAGTAGTTGACGAAGCCATGAACACTAGTAGCATATCTTGGGAGATCGACGATGAAGAAGCACCAGTGCTAGCACTGCTGTCCTCGGCATACACATGTAGATGATCACTTGACATCATCCTAGCGTGCACGAGAGACGACTGTGCTGATGCCAACAGAAGCAAGTATAGGATCACAACAATGGCAGTGTGTGAGGTAGTAGCCATGGGTGAAGTGATTAATATTTAGGCTAGATTGGCAGTGGCTACAAGGGAGCGTGTTTGGCTGTTTGTGAGAGATGAGAGATTATATATGAGCTGGTGAAGGAACTGTGATCTTGGATGCAATGAGAATGTGAGCAGTGGAACCATCATGTATTTATAGGTGAGGACGGAAGGGCTGGCGGTGGCCAGCAAGTGTGTCGTTGTGTGGCGGTGAGAAGCTTTGTGGCTTGGTCAAAATTTGTGTACACATCACCATTACATACGTTCGCCCTATAAAGTTGTCCTACCAAAGATTTTGGTGAGAGTGTTGCTGCTCGAGCTACCACAAAACACCGCGTGGAAGCTTTGTGTGCCCTAGCAACTCTCAGCCAATGCCACGTGTGCATATATATTTTATGCAACCGTGCTTCCTCTACTTTTTGGGGGCATATTCCTATTTAGCAAACATGTTGTGGAACAATAACTGAGGCTACACAAAAAAGATAATAAATAGTATTTGCGCTACAAATAGTAGATAGAATAGAAATATGACTACTACACAAATAATCTTTAGGGTGCCTACATTTTTTACACACAATTGACATAAGAAACCATTCCTATAAATATCCAAGTGAAAGCTCTAGTTTGATTTTGGTAATTGAGTGATAGCTAGTGGACTAATGCATCCACTTCTCTACATACCTTGGTCAGTAAAAGAAAAAACTTATTTTCACCATCGGGCTTCCACTCATCCTTCTCATCCATCCAACATCATCATCTCTTCAACATCACCATGTTGAGCACTTCTATCTTATGGTCATCACCATCTCCACCATGCTTCATGCATTGTAGACCTTAGTTTAAACATTTCCATGGCTGTATTTAGGATAGATAGTCGTACTATAAAAAGAGGAATCCTTTGGCTAATACGGTTGTCTAAGTGCCACTAGGTCAAGTCTAACAATGCACATGTGTTAGGTCAAGTGGCGCGGTGAGGAAGCGACTGCAAACCATTACAAAACATTCTGAAAATGCTAACTCAATGCTAAAGGTGTATGGGAATCTATTAGAAGTTAGCGCGTTTGAAAAAGGTTTGAGAGAGGTGCTTTTGTAGAGTATTTTTATACTCACCGGAACTCTCTGGTGGGGGTCATCTGAGGGTAAAGGTGCCCTGACCGGATGAAAGCCCTAGTTTGGTTTTGGTAATTAGGTAACACTAGTGGACATCCACAAAATGGGGTTGAGCAAGGTGGCTACCATGGTGAAGATGGTGATGACTACAAGTTGGAGATGCCAACCTTGGAGATGATGGAGAAGATGGATTGGAGAGCAAGCCCAAAGGCAAAGGTATATCAACAGGGTTTTGTTTTTGCTAGCCAAGGTGCAATAGACTGCACAATCAATTTTAAGATAGATAGTCATACTATTAAGTGGGGGATCTATAAAGCAATTATAGTTATTATCTAGTGCCACTAGGTTTGAACTAACTTTGCATATGCAATAGACCTAGTGACAAGGTGAGGAAGCAAGTGAAAATGCTTTGAAAATGCTAACTCTTATGCTTAAGGTGTTGGTGTTCATGTGGAACACATTTGGAGTTAGCACATTTGAAAGGAGCGTTGAGAGAGGAGCTGTTTGATGGGTTTTTAACCCCACCGGATTAGTCCGATGCTTGGGTCCCTAGGATCACCAAAGAAATTAATGGCTCTGTACTCAACCCTGAGCCAACCGTTTGCTCTAACTGGGTCACTGGATTTATCTGGTGGTGCCCATATCTAAGCACTGGAGCTTAGGCTCCAAAGTGGGACACGTGGAGGCATCTAGGAGAACACAAAAAATTCAAAGGAGCCAGCGCATTCTCTATTGGCGTGTGCCTTGGAGAATCTGAATTTTATGTGGCACCCAAAACCTTAGAACTCTTTCAATGCACTGTATGTCTTCAGGGGATGCACCGGAGAGTGCACTGGAGTGTCACTTTACAGAGCATTTTTAATGCACAATTTTGGCATAAGAGGCCAGCAAATCTCTCTGGTGCCACTAGAGAAAGCTCATCGGAGCTTAGGGCTTGTTTAATGGCTAGTTGAATATTGCTTGAAGATATCAATCCAAGCCCAAACCACAATGCATGATGAGCTCAACAACTTTACATGCAACCAAGTTTGGGAATTAGTTGAAAGACCCAAGAACTACAATGTGATAGTCACTGCTAGGTGGGTTTTTTGAAATAGCAAAATGAAGATATTATTATGATGAGAACCAAAGTAAGGCTAGTTGCACAAGGTTACACTCAAGGTGAGGGCTTGGATTTTGGTGAAACATTTGCACTGCTGGCTCGACTTGAGGCTATAAGGATATTTTGGTGAAACATAATATTGTATATTTGTGTTTAGGAGTTGCTTGCATATGCTGTCTGGTGGCGCTTGATGGTGTCCGCAGCTGCCACCATGGAATCGAGCAGCACGGCCCACATATAGCAGGTGGCATCATCGACGAGCAGTAGGAAGTAGCGCCGAGCTCCTAGAGTGGCCGGTGACACTAGACCGCAGAGGTCGCCGTGCACCAGCTCAAGCTGCTCGGTGGCGTGGTAGGAGGCTTGACGTAGGAAGGGCCGGCGCTTCAGCTTGTTCACCACATAGGTGTCGCAGAGCTGCTTAATGTGGTCGACGCAGGGTGTGCCGCGGACCATCTCCTTCTTGTTGAGCTACTTTAGGGCTTCGAAGTGAAGGTGCCCGAAGCGCTCGTGCCAGCGCCATGCCTCATCATCCCGGCGCATGGCAAGGCAGAGGGGGTGCATCGCTTCTACATGGAGCACATAAAGGCGGTTGCTTCCCGGTTCACCTTGGTGAGAAGACGGCGGCCCCTATCCCAGATGCGCAGCACGCCGTCCTCAATCTCCAGCCATGAGCCGTTCTTGTCCCACTGCCCGATGCTGATGATAGAGTTCTTGAAGCCCGAGATGTAGTACACCCCGGTGAGAAGACGATGCTCCCCGTCTTAGCCTTGAAGATGACCGAGCCAATGCCCTTGACCTCGACGGCAGTGGTGTCACGGAACTTGACGAAGCCCTTCACGCTGGAGTCTAGGTCGGAGAAGAACACAAGCCGACCCATCATGTGGTGCGTCGCACCGGTGTCGAGGTACCAGCCGTCGATCTTATCATCGGTGACACCTTTGCTCAGGAAGGTGTGGGCGCGCGGTTCATTGAGGTGGAGCTCGGCGGAGCCAGCAAACCCAAAAAGGGGAAAGCTTGGGCCTTTCACCCCCTCCCCTATGTCTTGCTGCTGCTCGCTGCTCGACACATCCGTGCGCCAGGAACAGAGTGGCATCCTGCTCCTCTGCTTGTGCGACGTGAGCCTGCACACCGTGGCGTGGAGGATGGCAACAGTCCTTGGCCAGTGGCCAGTCCTGCCATAGTTGTTGCAGGTGTCATCCTAGGTCGTCTTGCACTCGCCGACGGTGCCACCATTAGTGCCGACCTAGCCTAGGGTCCCTTCTCCTCCTTGCCACCGCGTGGACACCGGCGATGCTCCTTAGAGCTGGACGAACTAGAGCCTTCCTCCTTCTTATCGAAGGCGCGCCACTGCTTCATCGTGTACCGCGCGCTCCTCCATGAGGTCGGTGTTGCCGTTGTGCGCTATCTGCTCCATCAAATTGGTAAGACGAAGGGCAAAGTCCTTGACTTGCTCACCAGGCTGAAAGGCGAGGCCTTCCCACTCCCCTGGAGGCGCTGCAATGTCGCTCGGCGCACACGATCTCCGCCGATGCGTGCCGCGGTGATCGATTCCCATGCCACCTTTACCGTAGCCTTGTTAGCGAGGGAGGCGCCGAGCTTGGTGTGGACGGCGGCGCACAACACATCTAGTGCCCGGCGATCGTCGTCGTAGTCGACGCCGCTAACGTGAACCACCCCCCACAGCCGCCGGGCCTGTAGCTTGACCTTCATTAGCAGGCTCCACTCGTGGTAGTTTGACTTGGTGAGCATCGGCCATGGCGTTCCCGCTCCGGAGTCATGGTAGTCTGTCTGCAGCACGGGGGAGCCGCTCCACCGACCACGACACCGCTCTGGTGACGGCGACTGGCGGTGGCGCCCGACCGGGCTACGCGATCCTCCAGCTGTTTCCGGCTCCCGCTCCATCTCGGTGCGCAGTGCTACGGCCGCGGCTACCCGCGGCCTGATCCACAACCGCCGCCTGCCTAGCCATCTCGGCCGCCGGCGCAGCCGCTGCCTCTGCGGCCGCAAGGCGCATTGCTCGATCGACGGCTCTGGCACCCGTGGCGGTGCACGCTCTCGCGACCTAGCTGGCGGTGGACATGGCGCTCGCTCACTTAAGAACCCTCTCGTCTCTGATACCAGATTGTTGGCCCGATTGGATCTCAGATTCAGATCTGGAACTACCAGAGGATGGCTTGACCCTTGGCCTCTTGGATTGAATGGAAATGCAATGGCTTATTTTTACAATGACACTCCTTTGCCCTTTATAGGCGAAGGGGACTCTCACTTGATACAACATATTCTAACCACTAAAGTGGATGTTGAACATATTCCTAACACTAGGCTTGAAAGCCAAAAAAAATAAAAAGTGTAGGAAAAGTAAGATACAAGTGCTTTAGCACTAGGTTTATCTATCACACTCAATTTGAAAACAATCAGTTGGATCTTTTTTGATCCTATTATTTTTCAAGCTGATTCAATTACATTATTTGGAAGACCACACACAGAAAGGTTGTACGTCATATTAACGCAAAAAAACAGAAGGGAAAACAAAAAGATCAAGTGCGTTGCATATCAACGTACTGATACAATAATAGATACTATCTCATTATCTTTTGATCTTCAACATTCAGTGGAGTTCGATCTGAAAACAAAACACATATATATATATATATATATATATATATATATATATATATTAGTGGAGCTAATTTATGTGGCTCATGCCATAGTTGTTCAAAAATTGCATACACGTGTCAGCCAAGTTCTGGTGCATCAACATGTAACCGAAACTTTTGCACAGTACAAGCGT